CACCATTACTGCCCATTTTTGTTAATTTTTTGCTTTCCTTTTCCATTTACTGACGACTATATTCTCTGTAAGTCATTGTTTATTCGATCCATCCCACTTCTGCGTGGTCATCCTCTTCGTCAATTATTTGCAGTTGTATTTTCAAAATATATAATAATTGCTTATAAAATAGCTATAAACTTTGAGAGTAAAGAAATATGAAATAATTATAAATAAATTCATTTTATATCTTTTGAAGAGTAATAAAAGTCAAAGTGAATGCTTTAACCAAAAATTATTACCAAATGCAATAAAATTTTAAAGGAAATTATATAGCTCGGTATGAAGAAAACCAAAATTATTAGTAATAATATTTAATAAGAAAATATATCTTTGAGATACACATAAAAATTTTCATGACTTTCCGTATATATTAAAAATTTTTAAAAATAAACAAAATTATTTCGAAAATAAACTAAATAAGCACACAGAATTTAATTAATAATTAAATTTTGACAAAATCAAATGATGCACATTTACAAGTCAGAGAATTGCAATCCGCTGGCTCCGGGCCAATTTCAGTTCATATCAATTGATTTCAGATGCCCACGCAGGCATTCGCAACAATTTGCTGCACTTGCACATTAACCAGCAACAAAGTGAAATAGTTTTTATTTTTTAATTTTTTCTTGTCTATTTCTTTTCAACTATAATTATTAATAAGAAAATTAATGCTTGTGTAAAACGTTTTATTGAGCAAAAGATTTTAACCAAATGCACAAATGCACAAAGTGAAGATTTCTACGTCATTTATGCCTGAATGAGTCCATTGAGCACTCATCAAATTATAATCATCAAAATAATGTCTTCTAAGGAAATACAAAAAAAATTTCAACTAAATAATATGGCAAATTTTTTGCTATTTAATGAGATTTTCAACACGCAATTCCAATTCACATTTAATACAAAATTAGATAAAATTATAAACAAAAAACAAAAAAAAAATGTTAACAACAAAAAAATTGTTAATAAATTGCTACGGCCATGGGTGGTGCAATCGACAATAAAATTGACATATGAGCGCAAATGTTTTGAGTAAAAAACATATCTTTTGGAAAAATACAAATTTTGTATTTAAAAAAAATCTTTTTTTCTTTCTTTTTGTTAATTATATTTCCTTTTTTAATACAAATTTCAATATTTTTAATTCAAAATTCGTCTGCAAAATAAGGAAAACCACATACTAAAAATTATTTCTGTTTACTTAAAAAACATATTTTTCGTTTATTTATTAAAAATTGGAAACATTCAATTATTTATTTATTTGTTTTTTATGCATTTTTAATGTATTTCTATTTAAAATAATTAAAAATTAAAATTTAAAAATTCTGTTTATTTATATTTTTCATATTTTTTACACCTTTGGAGAAAAATCGACTATAGCTTGATTGAAAGAAATGCAATAGACAGCCACGTTAATAAGTAAACAAAAACGCCCAAGTAAATTTTTAAATTAATAAATAAAAAATTATTTCATTTTAAAAATTATAATTAAAAAATATTGCTATTCTATTATTGTTTTTTAAATAAATTTAAAAACATTTGCATATGTTAATTTTTTTACATTTATTTCAATTTTATTTGAAATGAGTAAGTAGAGTTCAAAAAAGAATTAAAAAATAATTTAAAAAATTATTTAAAAATTATTTAAAAATAATTTAAATAATTATTTAAAAATAATTTAAAAATAATTTAAAAAATTATTTAAAAATAATTTAAAAGTTATTTAAAAAATTATATAAAAATAATTTAAAAAATATTTCCAAAGACCACTGATAATGAGTAATTTACAATATTAGAAATAATTGTATGGTAAGACAAGAATTGAACTAATTAAAAAATAAAATATTTTGTTGCAATTAATAACTGTTCAAAACTTTTTATAAAATAGACATTTTTACAATTAATTTAGGTTAAGACACGAACCAGCTTAAACACCAAAAATGAAGTCAGCCTACAAATTGGCTCTTGCCAACAGATGTTACTTCGGACTAAGTAAGCAATTGAGAAATAAAGCTCTCTCTCGGCAAGCGAAAATCACGCTCTATAAATCTCTTATCATGCCTGTCCTGCTGTATGGTGTAGAAGCTTTGACAATTACCAACAATAATGAGAAGGCGATGGGAGTATTAGAGAGAAAAATTATTCGGAAGATTTATAGTCCCTTACGCGTTGGAACCGAGTATAAAATTAGATAGAACGATGAACTATATAAGCGGCTTTGCTGGTTTGATCATATCGTGGGAATGGAAGAAACTGCTCCGCCTAGAAAGGTTATTGATTTGGTACCCGCAGTTGGAAAACGCGATAGAGGACGTTCGCATCTTCGGTGGAAGGACTAGGTGACCAACGATTTGGAAACGCTCGGTCCTGCCAACTGGCGACTGATCAGGCTGGCTGACGGAGGCTACTCCACCTGGTCAAAGACGCATCACTTCAGTAATGGTCAACTAAGTATGTTAAGTAAGTAAGTAAGATACGAAAATAATTCTAGAAATCTATGAACGCCGAATGGCAGAATGTATTGCTGTATATATTTCGGAGATTTAATGGAACTACAAATGCTCTTTTTATTGCTTTAGTTAGTATAACGACTATTTTATATAACAAATACTTTCTTCAACTCCATTGATGGAATCCATTATAATATGGTAGGTAAAAAATGCATGTGAAAATGTCTTGCGATACGTATGTTAACAGAAAAAAAAATTCAAACAACAGTGGTTGGTTTCTGTTGTCAGTGCTGTTAAAACTTAACATTTCGGTAAAAGCTTTCAGAAGCTTTTATAACAGTGATGGCAACAAAAATGTTAATACTTTTAGTTTTTTTTCAAAACAAAATCGAAAATAAATTTTTTTTAAACAAATTTTTAACATGTAGAAATATAGAATAATATTATAGAATCAATATACAAAATATTTTTTAATATAAAATAAATATTTAAATAATTGTTATTCTTAAAAGGGATGCAATGTTATAAAATAAATTATTAAAAGAAAATATTGTATGTAATATGATATACCAATTTATTCATCACTCTTGTTTATTAGTTGCCCCAATAATACAATTATATTCAGTTACTTTGATATACCTTCACAGTTTTCTGATATCGTTATTTTGGGGTGCCATAAATGTTATACTGAGGACTGAGAACATGCAACACTGTATCGATTATGGGCAAGATCACGTTATTTAAATATAAATTTTAAAGTATTTTAATTTTTGTTTCTAATCATTATGAAAGAAATTATTTTCTCAATAAAAAGATTTTTGAATAATAGTTAACAAAATGTTATTTTTAATTAATCGACTGTTCGGCTATTATATATAGACTATTATATATATACACAGTTGTTTCAAATATTTTCCATAATAGATGTTTTTTTTTAAAAATATTTTCATATTTAATTAATTTAATATATAATTAATCGCGCAGAGTTTTTTTGGACTGCAAGTACCAAGCGTTAAGCTTGTATTCTGTGAAATTTTAAAGTTTAATTAAAAGTAGTGTAAGGCAATAATAGCTTGTATTAAAGAAGAATTAAATAAATAAGGGTCCAAAGGGAAGTAAATTGGGTAGCACATCAATTGAAACAGAGAGAAATTTGACTAAGATTTGAAAAAAGATTTGTGAATTTTATTTCGAAAGTTAAATAAGAAAATAAAATTGCATAGCAAAGTTATTGGTGCCAAAAAAAAGGATTAAATAATCGTATGACCTAATCCGTTACCTACAAATGTTTAGGTGAAAACGATAACACAATGATATTAGAGAGGTACACTACGAACACCTAAAAAAATTACACTAACAACTGACGACTGTCACTAACTAAAACTTATACCTTCTAAGCGAGCTGAGGTGGAAAAAGTCCAGCAAGGAAGAAAAAAACCGATAATATAATGTGAATCAGTAGGAAATTCTGATCTAGAATGACACTAACACTGGTGAGCACTACCTTGTCCCACTATACATTTAAAACGAGTTCTGTTTGGAAGGCGGCCGGAATGGAAAAGTAGATTCGACAGCATAGTCCTTAAATGTGATAAATCCAGACCATATATTCCTATATATCAAACGCGGTGGATAAGAAGTTACACCATATCCGGCGTAATTGCTAACAATGCTTAATTCTAATAATCACCTATTTTGGTAAAGAAGTTTTGCATGAAAACTATTAGTATTAGTGTCTAATACTAAAGCAAGCTTTGAAAAAAAAAGACACGAAAAAATAATTGTTCATGAACTTGTAATTATTAAAACTTATTTGATATGACAAAACTGAAAACTGCTGTCATACTCATCATATATGCCATGCGTTACAGCCAACATATTACCACCTGTTCTATTCGATGCACAATACTTTAATTGAGCAACAGTCCAGCAATATTAAAGAAGTCGAAGAACGACTAATGGAATCCATTATTTTTAAAGTGAGTACATTTTCGATGTAGATTTCATATGGTGGCTGAAAGTTGGGAAAAATATTTTTTTACTATAAACATTTGGATTTTATAGTAAAAAATAAAATAAATTAATTCAAATACCTAATAGTACAGTAATAAAAATATCTTCATGATGTATAGAGATTGATTAGATTTCCTTTCTCTGTGTTTACTAATGATAAATCTTGCATCATTTAAAATAATACGCACATTAAATGAAAATAAAAGAAAAAACTCAAGTACATAATAATAGAATTTTATGTACATCACATAATATTAATTTTTTTTTTTATTTTCAATAGCAAAAGTTTGCGATATAAACCAGACAACCCAACAATTTAATTAGTTGCCCCTTTTAATAACTGACATAATTCACTTCTGAGTTGCAATTTATTTCCTTTGTCATTTTAATTGAATCATAACTGGTAAAACCTTTCTTTTTAATATTCCCATACTTATCTATACGAGTACTTTAGATACTGCATAATGAGTGCTTGAATTGTATTGTTGTACTCACCTCCAATCGTGCGCCGCAAATCCAGGACAATTTGTTTTGCAACGTTCACAACGTACTCCATCTTCCACCTCACGAATAATGACACCCTGTAAAAACAATAATACCGAAAAAAATTAAAATAAATTAAAATAAAAACTTACAAATCTATTTAATAATAAAATTTTGAGTTAACTTTTTCAAATGCAACAACACTTCAGTTGCAGTAACTTCTCTAGGTCGACAAGAAATAATTATCTTATTTAAGAGATAAAACTTTTCATGAGGCGCAGTCTTAAAATGCACATAATTAAAATGAGAATCACCAAATAATATTTTAAGTTAGAAAAGTTTTTTTTAATTTTTTATTTATGACAATTAGTGTTAAAAATGTTTTCAGTTGTCTTTAGAATAAAACTTATGTTATATATATAGCTAGAGTGTGCGTAGTCATAAACTCTATTTAAATATAAGATACATTGTGAATTCTATTCAAACGCTATTTTATTATTATTTTCAGTGAAGTAATATTTTAATAAATAAAATAATATACTGATATTATATACTGATTCCAAAATCATCAGTATTGGTGAAGTAGATTCATAAATATCTTTAAACACGAAAACTAATAATATAATAACCAAAGCAGCCAGGGCACACTGAAATATGGTAATGCAGGGATATAAAAACTTTAAGAAAGAAAAAAACCAAAAAAAATAAACAAAAAAAAACAATTGTTTAATTACCAACATAGAAGGAAAATATACACTTACGGAAGAGACAATAAAACTATATAAAGTAGGTTCTATATTATTTTTACTCGAAGCAACAGGGTTTAGTGATTTACTCCAAACCCAGAAGGGGTTTGACCCAACGACGGCAGTGTTATATCCCATATTAATAACAATAATACCAACATAGAATAGCTACATATATTTTGGCAAACGTTTTCACAGAAAAAGCAAAACAATTAATACGGCAAACACCAAAAGAATTAAATTGTCTTCGAAATCTAAAAGAATCCGTAAGAATAGTATATATAGCAACATTATCAGAAGAAGGTTGGATTACAAGTTTTACACAACTTTTAACGAAAAACAAAATCACATATCAAGAAATATTAATGACAATGAATTAACAAGCAAAGGTGAATCCTACAACGGAAAATATTGCTTAAGTTATAGATAAATTCAAAAACCACAATTCTATCGACATTGATATGATTGATAATTACCCGATTAAAAATATAGCCACATTTCTGAAAGAGAATAAGGATAGAGGTGTTTGAAAAAAGTGATAAAAAATAATCCACAAATTAGAGAGATATATATTTTTTATGATCAATGTTCTTATGATTTGTGTGATATGTTGTAATAGGATTAAATACATCAGACCATGGTATTTGCAAAGAGCAAATAGCTCTTCTACACAATTAATGGAGTTTATTTAATTATCATATTTAAACAAATCGTAAAAAAATTTATTGATTGTAATAAATAGCTTAAATGATAATAATAATTATGTCATATAGTAAAACAATACAGTATTAATAACTTACAAGTTAATTATAATATATAAAGTTATGAGTTATTATTAACTCAACTTATGAATTTTGGATTCTTTTCACACAGAATATATCACAAGTAATAAATGGATTAAGAAACATACAGAATCCAAGCTAATAAAGTAACAACAATGATCGAATTCCTGAAAATTGCTATATAGTAAAATACGTACTGATCAGCACAACAAAGTTTGAGCTAAAGGTTCAACAAAAGACCTATCACTAATATAAAAGCAGTGTTCCACAAGATATATAAGAAAGAAAAATATAATTTTTGTATAATTACAAAAAAAAAAACAGAAACTAAATTTTAAAACTGCAGTACTAAAATCCAAATTATAGGTATTATACTACTATACAATTTATGCGATCTATATTATATCATATAAAATATAATGGTGACCGAATAATTTTCTTATAAAAGCAAATTTAAAAATTCAGACGAATTGTAGTAAATTATACAAGGACGATTTGTTTTCTAAGCAAAACGAAGTTATAAAAATTCAGATACAAATTTGTGGTATTTCCTAAATTCTTCAAAATTCTTAAAAATACGTCAACTTAATTTAAAGTTTGCCCCTTTTCCATAAATTAATAAATTACGCATTAAATATTCTTAGTTTTGGATTTCTCGCTTCGTTTAAAATTGAGTAAATTCCTATCTAAATTTAAAAAAAAAATGTTAATCTACAAAAAATGGTAATTATATTCGCAAACTTATTTACATGTTAATTTGGGTTATAAAAAAAAGATTTAGAAAAACAGAAATAAATTTAGAAATAATTTACAAAATGAATTCATTTAGGGATGTAACAATATTTATATATAATAATTTATTTTATAAATATAATAATAATTCTGATAGATCAGTGAAGTCAGAAATCATCAATATGATATGTCAGTTTATTACTTGACGCATCAATGAAAGCTGTAAAGTTATCGTTTTCTTAGACCATTATGTACTCGTAGTAGTCTGTGACTACTACATCAAAGATAGTAAAAGAATGTGGAATTTAGCGAATTAAATTGAGTCGTTTATATCGCTCTCATCTGAGTTCACGATTGAAGAACAATCGTATGTAACAAAATGAGAAAACGGTTAGTTTAGTCAGCGTTGAAGTATAGATATCTTGCTATGAGTACCAGCTTACCGGCTCTCCAATAAGGTAAAGATAAACCAACCTGATAATTGTATAAAGTTGGTTAAACTCCTTATTTTGCAAGATGACAGCTTAGTCAGGTCGGTAAGCAAAGAGACCTCGAAAATCAGACACAGGAAACTGTGTCACTGACACTGACACAGGAGGTGGAGCACAGTTTCCTTCTTTCCTGCAAAACCACAACATCGATAAAAGTCATTATAGGGTATAATACCCAGTTTCATAGCATGTCTTCCTATTACGCAATCACCCATCAGGTCCGATACAGTAGGGTTATGCAGGTGACGCCATAGTTGAAGCAGCTGACTAACGCGTTCTATGTCCAGTTTAGACTAAGATAATTTAGAAATTTACTAATAATAGGTGCAAGTTTCGGACGAGTTACGCAGCCGCTCGTCAATTTCAATGACAAGTGCCGTTTACCATCCCCTAAAGGGACTACACATTCCCCGCGAGCTACAATAACAACAAATAGTGTTAGTCTGATTCCTTTTTTAAATAAATATTATGCATATTAAGTCTCCATTTTTAATACACACTTAAGATATTTTTCCTATTAAGTAACAGATTGTTAGAATTTTTGCCATGAATACTGAGCACAACTTTAGATGAAGTAAATCTCTTACGATATTTATACAACCATCAATGAAATCAATAAGTAATAAATATTTCTATCATAATCCTTACTCGCAATACTTCTATATGGACTTGGCACCTCCAAAAAAAAAGGACGTCCTTTACTTACTTTTTTTTATTGCTCATATTGTTTACTGTTTTACTCTCATAATTTTAGCTGCGCTATTAATATATGGTCAAAATAGTACCTATAATCAACATTCTTAACTTCGAACATTCAAAAGTAAAATTGTAAAATCTGCTGATATACGCATACTGGGTAATAGATGGTGGTCGAATTTTGCATGGCAACACAGTATGTTACCATAAACTTACAAAAACATTGTGGCAATATCTTTTCTTTTCTTATTCAATAATAAATTCCAGATCATTTTTATATAGAAAGTATCTTCTAGCTGATAATAATCAATTATAGTGTGGGCAAAGCGTTTTGTTATGTTCTGGACAGGACAGAAAATAGGTTTGATGACATTTTTTCGCTATAGCTTGCACAGTTGTCACAGGGTTCAATCTCCTTTCTGAAGCCGTATCGTTCTATAAAACAGTGATCTGATAGGACACCTTTAAAAAATGAAATTTCATCTTTTCGCATGAATACAACGAAGCCTTTTTCACAGGTCTGAACATTTTATGACTGTCACTTTTTTAATCACTTTTTCAGAATGCTATTTAATATCCAGTAGCCTCTATTTTTAGATTTGACATTACAAATGAAAAATGAGATTGAATATTTATCAATTTTCTGACAACAAAATCGTAACCCAAATTTGGTTTCAAATAGCCTGTTTGTTTGGTTTTGTAATATTTTTGTTGTAATTCCACTAAAATTAAGTAAATACATATATCAAAGTAAATTTTTGAATAATGTTTCTAAAGCCTTACTAGTGACATTAGCTTGATATCCCGAATTTGTAGTCGTTTTGAGTTTATTTCCCTGGTTTAACGATATTTTTATTGTTATTCATGTGTTGTCGCTGTGTCTGAATCATCGAATTTTTCATGCACATGTCCTCATTTGCCTTTAACAAAATTGTATTTGTATCTGCAGTTGGCACTCTGCCAGTTGCATTTTGGTGTGAATGTTACAAGTATCTCGCTTCTGTACTGATATAAAAATATGCCTCTTGTTATTGTTGCTGTTGTCGCAGCATTGCAGAACGGATACGATATTTTATTTTCTGCAATGCACTTAACAAAAACATATGAGAACATGCTTAAGTGGACCTAAGGGGGCTGAAGTAGACCAAATGGATACTTGTTCATTACGAAGAAAGATTAAAAATAAAAAATAAATTAGAAAAAATTTAAAGTGCAGGTTCATTTCTTAAATGCTCCAATGCATGCCATATATCGTATTTAGTTTTATTCTGTTTTAAGATATTTATGTTTTATTTTCTTCTTTATGTCACTTGGCCAGGCCATTTACCGCTAACGTTTCTTCTATTTTTTGCAGATTTCCCGCACGTGTTTTCATTGTCGACACAATTTTCGCGTAAATTAAAGTTCATACAAAATCGATGACCTACTTTGGGCTCAAACCCACAGACGACAATAAACGAAGCCGCTTAACTCTGAAAAAATGTTACAATCACAAAATTTCAAACCAGAAGGAAATGTAAATATTTTTCTGTTGTCTATGGTCATTTCTTGCGCAAACACTAAGAAATTTTAGTTTCGGAATCCTAAAGACTGTGAGTTGACATTTTTATGCAATGGAAGTCATTGCAAGTAAAAATGAATTTATTCAAAA